CATACAACTTAAAAAAAAAGATTTAAGCTAGAATATTAAGATATTTGACAAATTACATGCAAAAAAGTGTCAGATGAATTTACGGTACAAAACATTTATATATAATTTTCTATAAATAGGACCAGGGAAGCCTACAGATAATCACATAAACAGGATAGACTGAGTCTGTACAAACATTTATGACTGAAAGTGTGACATTGTTTATGGTGGAGAAAACAAAGGAATGGTTGACTCCTACTTTATCTTCCATGGGCTAAATATAAGGATTTCCAATGATTCAAGGCACCAAATCCAAGGAAACAATAGACATAAACTATTGCTGTAATTTTGCCCATCAAGGTATGTTACAATACTTTATTACTGTATTCATCTTTTTACCACATTCTAAAGTTTCCTAATAAGGTTTCTAAAATGTTTCTCTTTAAAGAGCATTTTCTATAAACACTACCTCCTACCCACTTTTTGCTGGTGGTGAGCCTGATTTCTTTTGAATGTCAAGAGCAAATGATTGGAGAGGGGCTTGATGGGTTCGAATAAAGAAATGGGTTCCCTTTGAATAATGCAGTAGTGAAGTGGGGCGATATGACCAGCACAACGCGACTGTGGATACTTTTCCAACTGTGCCACTGAATTCATATCATGTGAAATGGCAGTTAAATCAAAGCCGAAGCTTGAGCAAGATTCTGGCAGTCGTTCTGGGATAAATAAAACATGTCAGAGATGACTCTATTGCCCTTTATCCTCCATTCTCTGCCTCTCCTCTTCCCTCTCTGTAGTTTTTATCTTTTTTTTTACTTTAGACCATGGTGCTTTTCTACCAGCAGGTTGTCTGAATTACATGTGCTGCAACGTGAATCCTTAACATACAGCTTCCTGAATCCTTTCTATCAAAGAGTAAAATGAAACTTTAGATTCTGGCTGGACCTTGGAGCACTGCTGCGCTTTTCTAACAGGTAAAATTTGCAATGCATGACATTTTCACCAAGCATGGACAGAAGTGGTGTTTATCCAAGTGAACATGATATAAGGTTAATTTGACTCCCATAAGGATGGACAGCCAACTGTATCTTCACCTCCTGCTGTTTCACATGTGGTCTTTAGCTTTGGGCAATAAAGCTGCATGTTTCACATCAAGGTGTTACTTTGATTTTCAAACTAGCATGCAGCTCTTCACCTAAATTATATTTTTAACACTATAAGAACTTAACATTTTCTTATATATTATAGCTGCAAAGAAAATTTGGAAAAACATGTAATCATGATTAGTATTAATAAAGCATTTTAGGGTGATATAAGTTATGATAAAACACATTCTGGCTCTTTATTTTACTGAAATTATACAAAGTCTCCTCCATGGTCCATAAACTATTGTGTCGCAGCCACAATAAATGTTCATCAGCAACATCATTAAGGGGAGTTAGTGGGCATTGTAACAGAGAAAATAAAACATGAAACATGCATCTAAATGCTCTGTGGAATGTAAATGGCCCTAATGCCTTTTTAAGAAGTCTTTAAATGAGTCCCAATGTCTTAGTTATTAGAGTACTTCAAGAATATCCATTACGAAAGAGCCCCAACATTCAACTCTACAACCAAAATATATCAGTGATAAGGTTGCTCTTAAAGCATGTTTTCAATCCATTATCCTCTTTCCATTCGACTATATTGAAAGAATTCAGATTAGGAGGTGAGGCAAAGGAAATACTAGACTTCATTTTGCAAATTTTGAAATCCTATGTTTTCCTCAACATGAAGATAACTTAGATTTGCTGCTGTATTTCTGCAAAACAAGATAAAATCTTATTTCTTCCAAATACGAAAAAAATCCAATGCTTGTCTTATTGTGCACAAACTAACTTTCCGATGTGCCTGCAAAACAATAAATAAAAATAAAATCAAAGGGTGCTCGATGGGTAAGAGGAAACAACATCATTTTCATTCAAATAAGCACGAAACAACATATTCTTATTTCTCAGTTTGATGTCTAAAAATCCTTGGTTTTGTTTATCTATATCTCTGGAAAGTGTTCAGTCTCACAGAGAAGAGTAAAAGAAATGGAAAAACATGGGTATGATAGAACTGGTTAGAAGATGTGAAGCAACTAGGGCTGGGCCACTAATTGCATTTGCAATATAATCACAATTTAACAAAATGAAATGTTCAAACTGCAGAGGAGCTCAATTGTAGACACATTACATTTAAAAAGAGCCCTTCCAACCCTTTAGGTGGCAGTCATATGCTTAAGGTGGGTTTTCTCACAACACAGAAAGGTAGAGAGGGTTGCAGCATGCATGCAGAGGCAAGCGTGCAAGTAGAATTGAGCTCTTTCTCACGCAATGGTTACAGTAAAGTCCTGCAAAAGGAATACAAGTCTCTGGAAAAGGAAGCTTCCAAGGTCATGAAAGAACTGAAACCCTGAGGTTTGGGCTCAGTACCAAGGAAAATCTAAATAAAATCACAATATTGGTTAAAAATAAAATCACAACTTAGATTTTTGAATCGTTCGGCTTAGAAGCAACATCAACGTTTGGATTAAATGAGGTAGCTCAACACGATACCGTAATGCCAACAAGGCGCCACGTTTTCAGATGGATTTTTTTTTTGTTTCTGGATTCTTAAAATGGCATTACTCACATACACAATCAAATATAAAAGAGCAACAGGCAGATGTGACATGCTGAATCATCAAGCATAAACAGCAACACATGGATGACTAAGAGAAGAGCCATGAGCGTTCCATGGGGAGAGCCAAAAACCTGGAAACCCATCTCTGAACAAAAGTAAATAAAACCAAAGAAATTGTTTTGTCTTTTAATACAAATAGATAATTCTGGAAAGAGTTTAAATATTAAATTGACTGAGATGATGAACTTGGATATATGGGTTCCTGTAGGAAGCAGAGTTCAATGGAAGAATAAGGAGATTTAGCTCTTATTCTATCATTTAAGGAGGGGGCTTAAGAAATAATGCTTTAACTTATATACTTTCCCCTAAAATGCAAAGCATGATGGATTGTTTAAATGGCAAATAAAGCATGCATCAGACTTTAAAAGCCTCTGGGAATCTTTACTAGATTCAACTTCTTCTAAAAGCAATAAAAAGGTATGTAATTATGTTATTGCACAAATGTATGTGCAGTCGTCGCATTTCAGCTCAGCTGGAGCATCATATCCAAGTTGCTCCGTTATTTACAGTGGGATTATTTCCTCTCCCGCACTTCCTCTTACTGTGTCTGGATATCTGATGGAGCTGAGCCGAGCAGCGGGGGAAGGCAGGTTAGGCGACAACAACAACACTTACAGGTGGAGAAAAAATGTGTTTGGTGTATGAAAGTGTAATAAAGGTTCCCAACAAAAGTGCCAATCTTCCTTACACCCCAAACAGATCTAAGAAGGTCTGAACGCCTGCCAGAATGTCTGAATGCGGTCACAAGTGGTGGAGATGCTAAAACAGCTGCTTCTAGCGTCAGAAGAACGAGTCTTGGCCAGGACACCAGCAGCTCTCACCCTCAAACTGTTAACGCTCCAGTTCCAACACAAAAGAAACAAGCTGTCAACTTGGGGGAAATGCTGAGTTACATTTATTCACATGAGGTAGAAACTGAGACTCAATGCTGAATATATATTATTAATAAATGAAAAACACTCCTGAATCTTCAAAATGTATAAAAAGAATTGCCGTGGGTACAGTTGCATTATGATAGTTAGATTAAATATTACTAATTTAAGCTTAATGTTTATCAAGTCTGATGAGAACAAAAATAAAAAAAGGTAAATAAAAAAGTGCCAAATATTTAAAGTTGCAATGATCCTTCATTTGAGGATCATTGTTCTTTTTTAGGTTACTAATCTACCTTCATAAATCTAAATGAAACACATAACACCAAGCCCCTCCTAAAACTGTACAGACTCAAAAATTCTGATTTAATCTCAGTACTCTTTGGAAATTCTTCCATTCTGTTGATCTTAGAGTGCTTCTTCCATTGTAGACCCTTTCATGTTTGCATAGCATATTTGACTGCTGACATCTATATTACTGAAAAACATACATATTTATCACAGCCTGAGTAAGAGCCATCACCAGGCAGCAAAATGCACCTTTGCAGCCTTTATAAACTGCATCCACAAACAGAAGCCCATTTTACTTTCATGCAGTCGCAGCAGTGTTTCCCTGCCAGGCGGTGGTCACTCCTTCTCAACATCACAGCAACATTTCCCATGTGTAGTACAGCCACTGTGGAGATGCTACAAATTGTTATTCTGAGCTGATGTTATTGTTTTTTTTTCCAGGTTTATCCCTCAGCATCTTCCATATCAACAAGAAAACTGCCCTGATCCATGCATGAAAAGTTGTCCTTAAGATACGTACGCTTAATCTAATTTATATGCTATGCAAATTTCGAAGTCAAACCCAATTTTCAAACTTTGGATGGAAAAAGATTAAAACCTCAGGGCTATTAAACTAATCGACTTGCAAATGCTCCTTTGTTTCACTTGTAGATAAGTCAATAGGTCAGAAAGGATTCACTGGAAAAAGGGACTTTATGATCATCCATCCAGTGACTATTTGTAAACTGAGCATGACATCAATTTTTTTATGCTTTCATTTTCAGACCATCTTGCCATTAAGCAGTAATCTTACCTGGATCACCAATATTACAAGAGAACAATGCATTGTGTGTGAATCCCAACAGGGGGACCTGTCATGTAGCAAAGTAGAAAATACATTGGAGTGGCACATTCCTGCAGCTCTATATCTAAGTAATTCTAAACTGCATTTCTATGCATTCTTATAAAATAAAATAAAATAGTAAACTTGCAGTCTTACTTTTTATTGGAGTCGTATATTCAGATTTAAATGCGAAAAATTACTTTTTTCTCTCTCTCTCTCTTTAGATGTAAGTACAGCCGGCGCCATAGGGAACATTATTTCCATATCCACACCTTTGTTTCCACTTTCTTTTCGGGAACTACTAGAGCTCAATAAAGTGTTGTTCTTACCTCGAGCTAAGGCGGCCGAGACTTGCAAACCAAGAAGCAGGAGGGTGGCAAAACTCCAGCAGCATCCTCTGGAAAACTGTCCCATCACTGCTCTGCTTGTCTCCCTCCCCGTCGGGGTCTAGGGCCACCTGCCGCGGGTCTTCAGCATTTGCCGTCTCCTCCGCAGCCCTCCCTTTTAAACCTCTTTTCCGTGTCCCGGCGGGTCGCTTGCCTGGCGCGGGTGCGCACGGTCAGGCGCGCTGAGATGAGGAGCGACCGGTCTAACCTCGCGGAATCGTGGTGCGGTGACAGGGAAGGAAGAAAGTGATGCTGAGCTTTGAAGCTGCCGACACTCAGCTGCGCGAGAGTGGAATCATCTGAGCGCGCGGCAGCAGCAGCAGCAGCAGCAGAGGGGTTTTTAGGGCTTTCAGAGGAGAGAGAGGATGAGTGAGGAGGGGAGAGAGAGAGGCTGGACCTGTTGAGAAACAAAATGAGTGGATAAGCGCACGTGCTGTCGTTTGTTTGTCATGAGCAGATACAAGCAATTATATCGGTTTAATTATTTCTTACTACACCCCAGCCTTGTTTTTAAGGCAGCATTACGGTGACCGATATTGAAGCGGTTGTCTTGGGGGGGCTCTCGCAAATGGCTTTTGAAATTGCGATTTTACTAATTAATGACTATCTGCAGCCTTTGAGCATATGGGTTCTGATCGGTGTCCTTTTGCCAATTAAGCGTCCGTTATCTTAGTTAAACGAGGCTATGGAGCAAGATAATACAATTCATCTCACAGTGTAATGATTAGAGTCACCATTTCTCTTTTATATTACAAATGGTTGAATAGAAATGCAGGGCTGGACTGGGGTTGTTTAAGCCCCTGAGCAGAATTCTATTTAAGGAGCTGCTACCAGCAAAGTCCATTATTGGCCCCCGAGAAGGAAAAAGTTCTATTTAATCTGTACAAGGAAAAGAAAAAGCTATTAATATGTAAAAATGCATGGATGTATGAAAATTTGATCCTAGTTCAGGTAATATAAATTATTAAACAGTATTGATATATGAAATATGAGGAAGATAGATTAATTAAACACTGTTTTAAAGCCTATATTTCAGTTATGATTTTTTTTTTCACCCACAGCTAATTAAAACATAAAATTAAAGTTTGAGTGTTCCTGAACAAAAACGAGAGAAAAAAATCAATAAAAAGAAAAGTAAGATTTCTTTTGCAGAGTATATGCTGTAGAATTGGGGCTGTTGTGAAATAACAGTATGTCATGGGTTTGGTCCTGTTTAAGTTTTATCTTTGAGCTTTTATTGGTTTCCATTTTGTGTTACTCTAGTTGTTTTTGATTGTGTTTGAGTTTTTAGGTATTTCTTGTTTACCCTCTGTTGCCCTCTTGTGTTAGTCTCCTTTTCCCTAGCTCCTTTCTAGACTCCTCTCTTCACACCTGCTCCCAATCTGCTGATCAGCCTGGTCCTTGTTTCTCTCTCCCATAGATGCACCTCCTGCTTAGTCCCTGTTGCTGGTTTGTCGTCATTTCTTTGCCCCTTGTTGTGAGTATTCCTGGTTCTCAGTTTTTGTGGATTTATTTTTTTTGGATTTTTTGCTTCTGTTAAACTTTTTTTGTATAATAAATCTGCAAGTCTCATCCTTCAGCTTCAGTCTGCATTTGGGTCCCCCTCTCAAACCCCCACCCCTACTTGACACTGGTTTAATAGTGACATAGTTTATGCAAATTGGACATTCCAAATTTTTTTCGGCTTGGTGGCAATCACTTCATGAAAGATTCATAGTCACAGTTCAGCCACCCTACACAGAAAAAAATATATATATGTTTTTAATGTTTAGTTAAAAACTGAAATGTCCATGAATAAAAGTTTCTCAAAGAATTGTAAGATTATCTATGTAGATTATATATATATATATATACAATATCCAAATATAATAAATCTTAAAATGATGTTCTTGTTAAGGTTAAAAAAGGAAATTAAGGAACATTTTACTTATTAAAAGTTAAGGTGTAGAATAAGAAACATAATGAATTTAGGTATAATGAAGAAGTAAAAAGAAAAAAACTCATTTGATGCAATTTAGACTTCATTTCATTGTAAAACTAAAAAAGGTTGTACCAGCAATGTCTCTCCATATATATATATATATATATATATATATATATATATATAT